TGGCAGAAAATTTCCCTCACTTGGTGAAGAAAACAGTCATACAAATCCAGGAAGTACAGAGTCCCAACAAGGTGAACCCCAAGAGGCCCACACCAAGACATATCATCATCAAAATACAAAAGGTTCAAGACAAAGAGAGACTCTTAAAAGCAGCAAGAGAGAAGCAGTTAGTTACCTACAAAGGAGCCCCCATTAGACTGTTAGCTGATTTCTCAAAAGAAACTTTGCAGGCCAGAAGGGAGTGGCAAGAAATATTCAAAGTGATGAAAAGCAAGAACCTACAACCAAGATTACTCTATCCTGCAAAGCTGTCATTTAGAATCGATGGTCATATGAAGAGTTTCCCAGACAAGAAAAAGGTAGAAGAGTTCATCACCACCAAACCAGTATTATATGAAATGTTGAAGGGTCTTGAAGAAAAAGATAAAAAATATGAACAAACAAAATGGCAATGAATACATATCTATCGACAATTGAATCTACAAACAAAATGAACAAGCAGAATAAAAACATTCTCAGAGATACAGAGAACATTTTGTTGGTTGCCAGATAGGAGGGGGATTGGGGGAATGGGTGAAAAAGGTGAAGGGAATAAGAAGTACAAATTGGTTGCTCGACTGACAAACCTCAAAGGGAAGGGGGTTTGGCAAGTGGGAAGAAATAAACCAAAGAACTTATATGCATGTATGCACAACCAATGGACACAGACAACAGGGTGGGAAAAGGCAGGAGGGGGGCAGGAGCGGGGAGGAAGGGGTCAATGGGAAAAAAATAAGAAATATCTGTAATATATTCAACAATAAAGATAAGTAAAAAGAAAGTTAAAAATTGAACTGCCATTTGACCCAGTGATCCCACTTCTAGGAATATACCCTAAGAAACCTGAAACACCAATCAGAAAGAATATATGTACCCCTATGTTCATAGCAGCACTATTTACAATAGCTAAGATCTGGAAACAACCCAAGTGTCCATCAGTAGATGAGTGGATAAAAAAGCTGTGGTACATGTACACAATGGAATACTATTCAGCTGCACGAAAGAAAGATCTCTTATCCTTTGAGATGGCATGAAAGAACCTGGAGAGTATTATGCTAAGTGAAATAAGCCAAGCAGAGAACAAACATCACATGATCTCACTTATTTGTGGAATATAATGAACTAAACAAACTGATAAACAAAACTGACCCAGTGACATAGAGGTGGGGTACAGAATGACAAGCCTCAGAGGAGGGGGGTTGGAGGGGGGAGAGATAAACCACAGAACTTATATGTATGTATGCATGACCAATGGATATAGACAACAAAGTTGGGATTGGGGGCAGGGGGAATGGGAAGGAGGGTGTCAATGGGGAAAAAAGGAGAAACATCTGTAACAAAAACAAAGAAAAAAGAAAAAAAAAAATGCTATCTGAGGTCTTGTGATTTTTTTTTTTTTTTTACAAGTATAAAGGGGTCCTACATTTTTGTTCTAAACAATCTAATCCTTATGTTATATTTCACAATCTTCCCTTCATATCATGATTCCTCAATAAGGCAAAAGGGGAAGATTAGAATTTGAGTCTTGCATATTACCTTCTAGGATCATAGTTTTATAAAATTGTGATCAAGGTAAACATATTGTAATACAGTGCTTTTAATATGAACTTACATGTCATTAATTAATTTGGTAGTTCCTCTATTCAACAGGTACTCAAAAACATTTGACTTTTGAATTCCCAAGATTAAATTTATTTCTTTAAAAAAAACTGGTCATTATTAAATGCAGGAACATAATCTTAAATCAATATATTAAATTAAATTAAATGTTTTCTAACTATTAGTTTATATGCCAGACTCTTAAGAAACTTAATATACAATATAATATTTCTAATTTCCACTTTTGTGCACACACAGCACTTAAAGGAGTTTTCATATAATTTTACATATATTTCATTATTATTGTCAGGTAAATGAATTAGTTAGGGTAGGTGTCTATACCCAACATTCAGAAGACTAAATAGGGAAACCCTATATAATGTCACTATTAAATAGGAGCTGAGAGAAAAATTCACATTTTGTTTTTTCTTTCTTTTTTCTTAATCCTCACCCAAGGATATTCTTCTATTTATCTTCAGATAGAGTAAAACAGAGGGAGCGAGAGAAAGACATCGACTAGATGCATACTGCATGACCCCGACCAGGGCTGGGGGCAAACAGCAACCTAGGTACATGCCCTTGACCAGAATCGAACCCATGACTCACTGGTCCAAGGGCCAACGTTCTAACAGCTGAGCCAAACCAGCCAGGGCACATCTTGTTTTTCAAAGAATTCTTTTTTAATTTATTGCTTTTTAGAGAAAGGAAGGGAGAGAGAGAGAAATACCAGTTTGATGTTCCACATATTTATGCATTCCCTGGTTGCTTCTTGTATGTGCAACCAGACTATAGCTCTAACCTGCAACCTTGACATATAGGGACGATGCTCTAACCCAGTGGTTCTCAACTTGTGGGTCACAACCCCTTTGGGGTCACCTAAGACCATCAGAAGACACATATTTCTGATGGCAATTCTTAACAGTAGCAAAATTACAGTTATGAAGTAGCAACAAAAATAATTTTATGGTTGGGAGTCACCACAACATGAGGAACTGGATTAAAGGGTCACGGCATTAGGAAGGTTGAGAACCACTGCTCTAACCAAATAAGCTACCCGGCCAGGGTGGAAAATTCACATCTTGTGATCCTCATCCAATATTCTATCATATCAGTTATATAGATCCATTTAAGAGAAGAACTTTCTGTATTTTTTCTTTATACAGCAAAAATTTCATTTTTAAAATTCCAATTTTACTTAAATGAAATTATTTTAAACCATATTTAGAAATTCTAAACTGCCCTGGCTGGCTTGGGTCAGCAGTTAGAGCGTCGGCCTGCGGACCAATGAGCTGTGGGTTCAATTCCGATTAAGGGCGCGTACTTCAGTTGCAGTTCGTCCTCAGCCCTGGTCCGGTCGTGCAGGAGGCAGCCAGTAGATGTGGCTCTATCGTACTGATGTTTTTGTCTCTCTGTCTCTCCCTCCCTCCCATTCTATCTAATGATAAATGGAAAAATATCCTCGGGTGAGAAAAAAAAAAAGAAATACTAAATAGAAAACAAATTACTAAGATACACAGATCCCTAGTCTAGCCTCTATTTTCTGGGTTACAGATCATTTCAAAATGTATTTCCAGTTGTTCTTGGTCAATACTTCTCTTACCAGTTTTTTACATGAATAAAAGTACAAGAACGCAAAGGAGGAAAAAAGTAACTTCCTCAAGTCTTTCTCCAGCTCCCTGGTCTAAGAGCCAATCTTCCTTTATCAACAAAAGAAAAAGTGTCAACTTCTTCTTGAATTTGACTCTTTTCTGAACTCTATCAGGCTTTGTATACAATGACAAATACATTTTAGCCTAAATTCTTAACAGCTGTACTTCTTTTATAGTATCAGATACCAACAGCTTGTAAATACCAGTATGTTTAATACAACATTTACACACAAAATAAACTAGCTTTGTTTCAAATCCTGTAAGAGGACTTAAAACGTACCTTTGTTCAAAAATTTTTAAATATTTTTTTTTCCTTTATTAATTTTTGAGAGAGAGGAAGAGGGAGAGAGAGAGAAAGAAACATTGATGTGAGAGAGACACATCAAGTAGTTGCCACCCACACTACCCCAACCATTGCCCAGAAGAAACTGCAACCGAGGCACATACCCTTAGTGGGAACTGAACCCAGGACTCTCTGGTCCGCAGGCTGATGCTCTAACCACTGAGCAAACAGGCCAAGGCAAAAATTTTTAAATATTTCATAAACCATTAGAAATTCACATACCTTCTTTCTACCACTCAGAAGATGGCCCCAAAAAATGACCATCTATTTATTCATTCAATAATTATTGAGGGATTGCTGGGTGCTAGCACATACTAAGATACATAACAGTCTCTGTTCTCATGAAACTTTCATTATTATACATTAAAGGTACTGGAAGAAATGTGAAAAACTCAGTATTTACATGTGGATTTTTCTGAAACTCCACAGACATTTCTCTGCTCCACCTCTACTCCAAAAGCTTTCACTGCTATTTAAAACTGAGCTAAGCCCTGGAAGGTTTGGCTCAGCAATTTGAGCAACAACATGAACCAAAGAGTCACGGGTTCAACTCTAGTCAAGGACACCTTGGTTGCAGTTTGATACCCAACCCTGGTTGGGGTCTAGTGGGAGGCAACCAATCGATGTTTCTCTCTCTCCCTGCCTCCCTCCCACTCTATCTGAAAATGGATGGAAAAATGTCCTTGGGTGAGGATTAAAAACAAACAAAAAACAAAACTGAGCTAAGCCTAACCAGTGTGGTCCTGGTTCAATCCCTGCAGAGAGGAACACATGACTAACTGCATATGACATTTAAAACACAAATACAAGTCACAAACCTAATGGCCAAGGAAAACAATGATATAAACCAAGAATGTTATTTATTCATTACTTTTTAAAACAATTTTATTGTGTTTTGTTTGTTTTTTAGAGAGAGCGGAAAAAACAGCCTCCTGCACACACCCCAACCTGGGATCAAACCCGAGACCTGGGTATGTGCCCTGACCAGAAATCAACTACCACCTTTTGGTGCATGGGACAATGCTCCAACCAACTGAGCCACACAGGCCAGGGCTAAACCAAGAAGTTTTAAAGGAAATGGGCTAGCAAAGATGATAATAAATTTGGTTTTATACACTATATTTGAGACATGGTAAAATGTCCATGGGGATAATACTGGAAATCAACTGGATATGTAGGACTAGAGCTCATAAAAAGATCTGGCCTAAAAAGAAAACTGGAAACAACTAATAAATTGAGTTTATTTTAGGGCACATATTATTTTGTACCCAAAATAACATAACAAAGGCTAAGTACCAAAAATATAGAAAAGGAGATAATTTAGTAACTGGTTAAAACATGCTAATTTCAAGTAAAATAATGTTTCTTACCTACTATTTTCCACAGCCTTCATAGCATATTCAACTTGAAAAACTCTTCCATCAGGAGAGAATGTAGAAGCTGACAGGTCATACTAGGAGGAAAAAAGCAACAATAAGCCTATGATGATGTATCTTTGGCAGTAATAAGCTTACAATTTTTTTTTCCTAAATGGCTTATACACCGGAAATACGTGTTAACTCTCAACAAAGATTTTGCTTTAGCATGTACAATCAGCAACAACAGCTAAGGAAAAGTTATACACTTTAGATTTCTGCTATGGAAAAGCAACAGACACAAGTCCTAGATAAAATCAACTTTTTTCACACAAAAACACAAAGTTCATTTTCGAAAAAAATTAGTATGGCATGGCAGAAATAGACTGAAGCCAGTATATTCTAATTCATAGCTGTGGCACTAACAAACTGAAGACAAATCATTTAGCATTCAAACATTTAATAGGCATCTTTTAGTCACTAAGGGAATACAAAGAATACTCAATTGTGAACTCCTTCATTTCAAATCAGACCAGGCACACATCTAGGTGCTGGATATACAGCAGTTACTCAGAAAAATGACTATAATAAAAATAAAATAGGTTGAAGTGATAGTTGGGGGAACTATTACAGACTACCTAATCAAGAAAGTCCTTGCTGGGGCAGTTATATTTAGTTATTTAGACCGAGTCACACCTAAATAAGGAGTAACTAGTCATTTAGAATATGGGGAAGCCATCCTGGCATTTGGCATAAAGACTTGTATAATCAAGGAAAAGAAATAAGGCCACTGTGTATTAATTGCTGTAAGTGACAGAGAGAAAACTATCAGAGACATGTAAGGGCCAAACTATGTTGAGTCTTCTAGGCTGGAGTATGAAGTTTATACTTTACTCTAAATGCAGTAAGAAATCACTGAAATTTAAACAGGAGGGAGGAGTGATATGATTTAATTAAAAAAAAAACAAAAAAAACCCAGCATTCAGCCGTGGCCGGTTTGGCTCAACGGTTAAAGCACCGACCCATGGACAGGAGAGACCGGTTCAGTTCCCACTAGGGGCACGTACCTCGGTTGCAATTTGTCCCCGGCCCAGGTTGGGGTCATGTGGGTGGCAGCCAGTCGATGTGTCTCTCTCACATCAATGTTTCTCTCTCTCTCTTTCTCCCTCTCTCCCTCCTGCTCTATCTGAAGATAAGTGCAAAAGTGTTCTCGAGTGAGGAGTAAAATAAAATCATTCACCTGAAAAATGAATTGCAGAGGAAACAAGAGTAAAAGCAGAGACCAGGTATTCCAAAGGTGGTACAAAAGAGGTGGAAGGCAGTGTGTTTTTAGGGTAGAGAACCTCCCCTCTCTCCTTCCAAAAACAAAAAAAACCTGCTAAAGGATTAGTTCTAGGTGTAAAATAAAAAGGAAATGAAAGGTGGCCCTGAATGGTTTGGTTCAGTGGTTAGAGCGTTGGCCTGCGGTCCAGAGACTGAGGTTTGGTTCACGCTAAGGGTGTGTACCTCGGTTGAAGTTTGTCCCCGGCCTTGGTTGGTCATACGGGTGGCAGCCTCTCAATGGGTCCCTTTCACGTCGATGTTTTTTTTTCTCTCTCTCCCACTCTATCTGAACAAAAAATGTCCTCGGTGAGGATAAAAATAAAATTAAAAAAAAAAGCAAAAAAAAAAGAAAGGTGAATCAGATTTTCATTTGAGCAACCAGAACTGGACCATTCACTGAGCTGAAGGTTGTAGGAGATGCAAGTAGGAAGAAAGAAATTAAAAGTGAATCACAGATTTTTTTTTTTCATTTGAGCAACTAGAACTGGATCATTCACTGAAGACTGTAGGAGATGCAAAATGGCAAGGGGAGAATAAAACAGAGCTCTACTTGGGCATGTAGTTTGAGGTGCCTATTAAACAATCAAGTGACGAGAAATGTCTAGTAGACAGGTCTTCTTATCTGGAGTTCTTAGGAGAAGTGAAGACAGGAGGCAAGCCCTCAACCATAGTGCTTCCTGAGTTTGTTTCCTGATGTGTTAGATGAAGATCCTTAACTCTACTACTGTGATACCAAAATATCTCACATAGTTACATTATCAAGTATTTTTATAGGATTTGTAGAATGAAACACTATCAATCGAAGATAGTATTAATGCAGTTGCAAAGTCAATTTGCTACAATATACATTAGAGATCGACTACTATTCCTAAAAAATATGACATAACTTTAGCATCACGTAACCAAATGATGGAATAAACCATTCCAAACATAAGCTGCTTATTATCAAACTAGGAAAAACCGTATTGAGGCATAATTCTGAGTGTCAAAATCTTGTGAACTATAAAATTAGATGAACTAAGAAACCCATTATGAATGTCTTAATGCAAACAACCAATATATATTTCTAAACAATATTTTCCATATGGAGAAATACATAAAAGAAGTAACCAAAAGATTGTATATATGCAGTACATTTAACGAGGGAAAGAGTTAAGCTGAACGGTCCAACTTCAAAATCCTCAACAGTCTTGTCTATTAAAAGTCAGAGCTGGCTAGGCCCCTAGCCAACCGTGTCAGTGTTTGCGGTAGGGTGCTGGTAAGTAAGTACTCTGTACAGGAAAAGCTGGGACGTAGGAAAAACGGAAAGGATTCCTCAGATTTCACTTTTCAGACCATTTTTTTATTACTTCTGTCGCGACAGGGTTTCCCGGGAGACGTACTGAGCAGCCGATACACTCGGAGGGAAGATGGAGAAGGGCCCGTGAGTCAGCAGCGCCCTAGCAACTGCGTGGAACTGTCCACGGAATCTCCAGCCGCCTTGCCTCCGTGCTTCTCAAAAGGCGCTGATGCCCACACCCTTCACCCCATGTCAGGCCCCACGAGTGTCCACTTTCGGTTTCCCTGAAAGGCTGCAGAAAGTGACTCAGCGGTCCACAGGGCTCCACATCTCACTGCGGCGCCTCCAGGCCCGCCACACCTGAGCTTAAACGCGTCAGGTCACCGTCACCGCAGGCTCCGGCCTAGAAATCAACGTGTGGGGAAAGACAACGGGAAGCGGCCCGCCGGGCCGAAGGCAGTCCCAGTGCACCCCGAATTGGCGCACCCTAAGCCCTCTGTCCGAGTTCCCTTCAACGCTAATCCTTTGACTAGACTATTACACCGAGAGACAACGAACTCACCCCGGTGCCGATTGAACTCATCCTGCTAGAAACCAGCGGAACGTTCCGTGTAAGACTTCAGGGCCTAAAGCGCTCCCCGACGGCGCAGCACACAGACTAGTAACAGGCTCTCTCATTGGCTGCTCTGCCAACCAATAGCCTCCTCTGTGGCTCGCTCCTGGTCTTTAGCCCCGGGAGCAGAGGATTGTGGGGAAAGGAGGGGAGTAACATGGTGGGCGACGCGGAAATACAGAAACAATGGAGGTGGGGTTAGGGGAGCGCCCTGGGTTTCCGTTCAGATGTCATTGAGCCATTTTGAGTCTTAGAGTTGTTTGAGAAGCTGCTCTATTTCATTGCGTAGGAATTATTTATCTTTTATATTATCCCTCTGTTTTGCTACCTTATTCTTTCTTGGAGCAAAGCGGAGAGATGTTCTTACCAATGCCAAACAAAGCGTTAGGGAAGATGTCTCCTTCAACACTTGTCCTCGTTCTGACCCAATATTTTGAGGACTTCCCTGTCAACCTACCCATCCTCGTAACAAAGGAAGTTGCAGTCTAAGGGTATCATACACTTTTGAGCTCAGGAATTTTACAGAAGCATTAGTATCCTTTTGTGAATACAACTATTTAGTAGAATTAAAGGTAAGACGGATTAAAGATATTTATTGAGATTTAATACGTCCCTAGTACTCTGCTAAATACTGGCGATAAAACGGTGGAGAGTTGACCTAACTCCATCCCTCATGGAATTTACATACAAATAGTTGGACCTCGTGGTAAAATGATAGAAGAGACAATGGAGGTTTGAATTTAGACCGGGTACTTACAGAATGACTTTCTGAATGGGTGATATTTAAACTGAAATTTGGGATTGTTATAGGAATATAAGCTTGGCATTGTTACAGGAATGGTCAGGTCAGTGTAGTCTGTCAGTGATTAAGTGGGGGAGATGACAGAAAGGTAAATAAGAGGTGGACTAGGAACCAGATCTTGTAGTGGTTTAAATTTTAATATTATTAATGGAGGGCCATTAGCACTTTTTAAACTACTAACTACTTTAGTGTGTACCGCCCCCCCCCCAACAGTATTATTTTACATGGTCACAATATAATACCATTTTCTAATATACAGACTTTTTTAGATTTTGGCAATTCTCTCAGTAATGCCCTTCGTAGCAAATATAAGATTTTTAAAATCCACCACCACAAATTGCATTCAGTTGCAGGTCTCTAGGGTCCTTTACTCTGGAATTAGTCGCTTAATATAAATAATTGTTATATCATCTCGATTATTCTATTGTCTCAGCTTGTCATAGTTTTTCTTCTTTCCTCTTAGAATTAACATTCTTTACCATAACATTCAATGACTCCATAATTCTTTCCTCTCAGCTGCTGTTATCTGAGCTGAATGATGATAACAATCTCCGAGGGTCCTCTCTCTCAATTGTCGGGCAGTTACCCGAAAGAGGCTTTATTTTAATTTAAGTTAACCGGAATCCCCTTCCTCAAGTTATCTTTCCTTGACTAGATCATATTAAAAGAAAAGAGCTCACCTCTGCTGTTTTTCAGTGTAACTAACTTCTTAGAGGTTGAACTTTTTGTTTGTTTGCTTTTCTGTTTTGTTTTAAAAATATGGTCCGGTTCAGGAATCTGCATGTGGTCCTTGCGCAGGGGCTATGCTAATCTACTCGGTATATTTCCAACTTTAGTATATGTGCTGCTAAAGCGCGCACTGAACTTTGTTTTTTAGTGTTGCCCCGCACGTTGTAGGAATCCCGTATGCTATTTGATAGAGGGCGGATTGCCTTGATACGTGATTTTTAAAAACAGCATTAAGCGGTATTTTAAAACACGTCAGAAAAAGATTCAATGAATGAACCTGTAATGATAAAATTTGTATAAGTTTTCAGTGATCTTGATATACACACGCAATGGGAATTATTAAAGTACAATTAAAGAAATGTTTTAAAGAATTCTTGAAAAAAAGTTGTGAAGTGCATGTTTAATAGCACGATTCAAATTTTTGTAAGTATAATAAAATGCAGTGTGGCCGAACAATGATCAAGAGGTAGAAAAACGTGGCAGGCTTCCGAGCGCCCGGCTAGCTCAGTCGGTAGAGCATGGGACTCTTAATCCCAGGGTCGTGGGTTCGAGCCCCACGTTGGGCGGCAGTGAGTTTTTGAATTTCCTTAAGAAATTTTGTTTTAAGCTTTCTCCAAAGCCTTATAACTAAGTAAGGGGTCTTTAAAGCTAATTTATTTAAATATTTCCAATGTTAACCAGATCTCCGGAAAAAAATTTTGCAAACGAAACAGGTCTCAGCCGGCGCTTGCGCACTGGAAAGCACACGTCCCTCCTTTTTGTGATCTCTCCCCAACCTCTCTGGAGTACCGAGGAAATGGAAAGGCCACTGTCGAAAGATGAACTCATTTTCTGTGTTACTATGCATACTTGCATAATTACAGGTAGAGGGCAATTTTTGGTTCTATCAGAACAAAATATGAACACCGATTGTGGCACCTTTTCCAAAACGTGAAGATCTCATGTAAAAGCAGCTGGGGAGGCTGGAGGACCTTAAAAAAAATGTGTCTTCCTTTTTTGTTTATAGGGCCTGTCTTGGGGTAGGGGGGAAGATAGCGGAATATCCCCTGGAGAATATACAGTGAGAAATGTTTCTTTCTGTAGTCAGATCTGTGCAACCCACACACACACACACACACACACACACACACACACATATTACCAATTTTCTTCCATTGTTCTTGGGACTATATTTGGGACCTATACATCCAATTGGATGACTACTAGGAAGTTAATATTCTTTGAAACAGAAGCACAAAAGAACTGAGATGTGAAAATTCAGATGGTTATTTAGATACTTAAGAAGGCAGGATTTCTGCCCTCTCTTTTCACTGACAATTCTGAAGTAATCAGAAAGAGAACATGCACACACACCCGGACCACCACCACATCCAGGCACACTCCAGGATCTCACTCACCAGACAACAAAGGTGAACTATCCATGCTCCTACGTGAAGTCAACCCTATCTAAAGCACTAGTTCCTATACCTCTGTGTGTTATCCACCAGCTTTCCTCCCACTAACTATCGATTTTTCTCTCTTATTGTTTCCTTTAACACACAAACATGCTGTTAGTTCTCTATCTTAAAACAAAAATTTTGACCTAGTTTCCTTGCAGGCTACTTGTTCCCCTTTGAAACAAGTCATCTGCTTCCCAGTTGCCTACTTCACCAGCCCTCACGTTGCATCTCTTAACCCTGAAATGCCCTTTTGGCCAAACAAAAAAATACCTGTAGTTGAACAAATTTGGTTTATTACTCACTGCAGGTATAAAGCTGAAATTAGTAAAGTAACAGTCACTCATTTAGCAAGAGAGTGTGTTTGGTGTTTTAAGTTGGGCAGTGACCAACTTGTCTAAAGTGGATGATGTTCTGTGAGATGCTAATCCAAAATCCAAGTCTTCTTCTCTTCTGACTAACCCACTATAAGTGGACTATAAATAAAGGTTTCCCGCAACCCTCTCCTCAGGTTTGATAATTTTCTTAGGACGGCTCACAGAACTCAGGAAAATATTTTACTTAGTTCTAGCTTATTACAAAGGATACAACTTAGGAAGAGCCAAATGTCAGAGATGCAAAAGGCAAGGTATGGAGGAGCATGGAGCTTCCTTGCCCTCTCCTGGAATGCCGCACTCCTAGCACCTGGATATGTTCACCACACTGAAAGCGCCCTGTTGTATAGGGATTTTTATGGAGGCTTTATATGTAGACAATAGATTAATTCAATATCCAGCCCTTCTCTCCCTGGAGGATGTGGGGTGGGGCTTAAAGTTGTAAAGTTCTAATCAAGGCTTGGTCTTTCTGGTGACCAGCCCTTATCCTGAAGCTATCCAGGAGCCCACCATAAGTTACCTCATTAGAACAAAAGACATTCCAATTACCCAGGAAATTCCAAGGGATTTAGGAACTCTATAAGATGTTCCTAACATACCATCACTCAGAAAATGTAGAGAGTTTTAGGATTTGTGTTAGGAACTAAGTACAGAGACCAAATATATGTATTACATCACACTTGCCTAACGTCTTTGACTCACTAATAAACCCAATCCCAATCACCCTATTCTAATTGGCAATTATCCCACCATCCCTTTTACCCTATGCTATTTTTCCCATAGAAGAGATCATCTTCTAACTTATGTTATTGTCTCTTCACTTGTACCCTCTTGGAATGTAGGTTCACAAAGGAAGGATTTTTGACTTTGCTCATTAATGTATTTCAAGCACCTAAATTAGTATCTAGCAGATGTTCAATAAATGTGTTGATCTAGTGAGTTAAGAAGCATTTTAAGTTTCCTAGGGCTGCCATAATAAAGTAACCCAAACTAGGTGGCTTAAAATAACTGAAATTTATTCTCACAGTTCTGGGGGCTAGAAGCTTGAAATGAAGGCATAGGCAGTCATGCTCTCAAAGGCTCTCTTGAAGAATCTGTTCTTCGGTTCTTTCTCTTAGCTTTTTGATGTCACCAGCAATACTTGGTGTTCCTTGGCTTGCAGCTGCATAACTCCAATCTCTCAGTTGTTACATGCTTTCTCCCTGAGTATCTCTGTCGAACATGGCATTTTCCTCTTCTTATATGGACACCAGTCCTATTGGATTAGGGCCCACCTCAATGACCTCATCTTAATTTGATTACATCTGCAAAGACTTTATTTCCAAATAAGGCCACATTCACAGGTACTGGGGGTTAGGACTTTAAAATATCTTTCTGGAGCCCATAATTCAACCCCTGAAAGTGGACTCCATTTGTTAACCTCAGCCACAAGGTGTCTGCCACTTTACAGCTAGCTAACGCTCCATTTCAGTCCAAAATCTTATTTTTTATATTATTCTGTGATGAAAAACTTCTCATACATAATCCAAATTCAACAAGACACAATTTTATAAACTATTATAAAAAAGACAGTGTTAATAGTAAATCCATATAATCAACCATTAATAGTACATCTATTCCTGGTAATCCTACTGGAGTTTTAAAGCTTAGAAATAAAGGAGCTTTGTTCTTAGAAGTTTATACTCCCAAAAGGAAGATAAAAGCTGTGTGGAAACAATGACAAGGTGAGAACTGTAAGTGCCTCAGCTGCAGATAATGTGCTTATGGGAAAGATCACTACTTTGGGGGAAAGGGTGCTGTGGAAAAGTGATGGGCACAGAGGACACAGGAATGTCACTTTTAGAAATGAATATATTAGGAAAATAAATGGCAATTTTGAACTTTTATAGTTTTATCTACTGGTTTAACATGTTTTTCAAGTTCTTCATAATCTAATCCTAAATTATAATTAGTAATGCTTAATCTCAATGCCAAATGCTTTGTGTAGAATTCAGTTCACATAGCCTGGTATAACCCCCAAGTATTGACATTCTACTCATTCTTCAGGAACAAGGTAAAAAAACTCATCTGTGAAGTTTTCCTTGACTCCCTGGTCCCATTACATCAGTAACGCAATTGATACCCTTTATGGCACCTACCACATTCTGGTTTTATAGTCAGTTGTGTATATATCTGCATCTAATATGTAAACCCCCTAAAAGCAAAAGTTCATGTCTTACTATTGTACCACTTACAGTTACGTAAAACTATACTACATATATATAGCAAACAGTCAATAAACACTGGGTTTTAGTCTTGGGCTACTAAAGCAGCAGGACATGGTGACAGCCCTACTGCTAGAGGTGGAAGCATTTTTAAAAGTAAAACACATATATATACCAAAATATGAAAATCCTTTCCTATTCTTAATTTTTCAATGGAAAAATATTCTTGGGTAAGGATTAACAACAACAACAAAAACAAAACTAAAAAAAACAAAAAACAAAAATTAAACAATGACTGAGTACATTATTTCAAAGAACCATTGCCCTGAGAAGATGAAAAGCACAAAATAAAAGATGTTATGATGTTTATGAAACAGTGCATAAAAACACATAAAATATTTTTGCATAGAAATGAAATCTTTTTGCAAATTAAAACAACGAGCTATCACCTCACACCTGTCAGAATGGCCGCCATCAACAAATCATCAAACAATAAGTGTTGGCGAGGGTGTGGAGAAAAGGGGACTCTAGTACACTGCTGGTGGGAATGCAGACTGGTGCAGTCACTATGGAAAACAATATGGTGTTCCCTCAAAAAATTAAAAATTGAACTGCCATTTGACCCAGTGATCCCACTTCTAGGAATATACCCTAAGAAGCCTGAAACACCAATCAGAAAGAATATATGTACCCCCATGTTCATAGTAGCATATTTACAATAGCTAAGATCTGGAAACAGCCCAGGTGTCCATCAGTAGATGAGTAGATAAAAAAGCTGTGGTACATGTACCCAATGGAGTTCTATGCAGCTGTAAGGAAAGACCTCTTATCCTTTGAGACAACATGGAGGGGCCTGGAAAGTATTAACCAAAGTGAAACAAGCCAAGCAGAAAAAGACAAATACCACATGATCTCATTTATGGAATACAATGAACATAAAAGTCTGAGGAATAGTGTAGATCCAGAAACATGGAAGTAGAGTACTGACTGACAATCCCCAGAAGAGGGGATGGTGGAGGGAGGGAAGAGATAAACCACAGAACTTATATGCATGCATGCATAACCAATGGACATGGACAACAAAGCTAGGGACAGGGTGGCGGGGGGGCGGGG